TTTTATCGTGATATTAATATAATTAAGAGAATTATGGAATTAAAGTCATTTTCAGAAGGAAGGTTTGTATGGGGGCTAGGGTCAATTAAATCTGTATTATTTAAAAAATCGACAGTATCACTAAGGATATATCGCAAACCCATTTATACCGATTTTTATATTGATCGGGCTTTATTTGACACTAATCCCCAAAACAAACCCTCCTTCAGAAAATGATTTTAATTCCTTAATTTTCTTAATTATATTAATATCAAGATGAAATTCAGCATAAATAATTCTTGTTCTACTCGGATCTACCTTTCAGAAAAATAGTATCACTTCCCTGGTATTTCAATTTTCGTTTACTTTGTGTCACAGTGTAATTCGTTTTATATAAAACTTTTCTATAATGTTAAATTTAGGAATTCAGATATAGAAAACATATATATATAAAGTCTTAGTAAAATCGAGTAATATTAACCCATAAAAGGTTAAGGTCAAAATCAAATTAAGCAATATTGGAAAATTTTCACAAAATCGTAGTGAAATATTATTTACTTTTCAACAGATTTAAATGTAACTTAGAGAAATATATCATATTTATACCCCATATTTATAATGACATCGAAAATATCGTTATTAAACCTTAAACGTAAATATATTTTTATAATCATGTATAAAAAATCTTATAATATGTATGTATATATGAAATAAATATGCATTTTTTATATATTACTTAAACACAAATATATATTTAAATATTTGAACTTCCGTAGTACACATCCGGTTAAGAATTTCCTATATTAGACAAATATAAATTATAATACACAAAATTATTAAGAAAATTCGATTGTAATTCCAAGAAATATTTTATGAAATCCATCAAGATTAACCATCTTTTACAATAATTTAATAATTAATTATTTATTATTAAATAATTTAAAATATGAAATTCAGTTTTAGGCGTTGCCATTATAACCAACATATTACAGACATAGTACACATTTAAAGTAAACAACTAATCTATAACAAGTACAAATTGCAAAATAACACCCCAAAAAAATTGACCAAACGAGCGGGCGGTGTCTTAAATGTGCAAAAGGTTTTTATCAGAACATACAAATAAAAACAAAACAACATTCATTTAAATTCATTTCAATTCAATTTACTCATGGATGGATGACTGTTGTTAGACTATGTGGTGAAAGGTTACACCAACAACAAATTCCGTATGGTGTTATATGTTGCAAGTAGTGTAGATTAGGAAAATACCAAGAAAAAAACACGTGAGTAATGTATACATGAAAAACCCTTTTAGCGATTGCAATGTGTTTATCAGATTTTAAAAGTTTCTGGAATTTGGAAAAAACAATAATGGACTTTGGAGATCTTGTTTTGACTTTGAAAATCCACTATATTTTTGATAAATTTGATAGGAGTCATTTCTCCATTAGCTGTTTAGTGTGTAACCAAAACGTAGAGAAATGTATTTCGAAAGTAGGTACTACCAAGAACAGGAAAATATTGTACAAGTGGTGGACTCTCTTCTTAATAGGTAAAACCACTACCAGAAGTTATAATTTTTCATTAAAGATCCCAACATTTTGTTCAGATATAACCACAGTAAGTTATTGTCAAGCCTATATCTGTTTGCATTTCGGGACCTGATGTAGTTCTATAATTATCTATATTTTGATATTTTCCATTATATTTTTAAAACGATTCACTGATAACTAATTAGATGGTCAGTTGTCTGATCTCCTGCGTGTACGATATCGAATTCCAACATGAATGTTTAGATGAACGCAACTCTTTTGTAAGGTCGTTCATTGAAAAGAAGGTGTAAGTTACATCAGATTCAAAGAAAAACACCTAGGCCTGTTGTGCGCTCCTTTACCAGAATCTCTGCGTCCTTTTTACTGACAGACTACAGCACTTATCAGTGAAATTTAATATATGCAAAGATCTGTTTTCCAATATAAAGTTTCTACATTAAAAAACGTATGCTAATGGATTAAGACCAGCTCCTATTCAAATCAACGAGCAATAGGCCAAATGGAGGAGTAATACTCTAGATCCTGCTTTAGAGTGATGAAAATTGATTTGTGTCAATCTCACCATTTAGACTATGGTCTTGAGACTAAGAGGGTGTCTTCCTAAACACTCCCATGCAAATAAGGCTCTCAATACTTCAGATAGTGTATTTTTTGTCGGAAAAATCGGCACCTTCATTACATTTCGGACCTTCTTCAGACTACACTATTTAAGGGATTCTTCCTAAACACTCCCATGCAAATAAGGCTCTCAATACTTTAGAGGGTGTCTTCTTTGTCGGATGAACCGGTATCTTCATTACATTTCGGATCTTCTTTAGACTACACTATCGATCACCTTTAAAAAGCTTAAGAGGGTGTCTTAATAAACAGCATTATGTGAATACTTTCAAATAAAAGCACTCATTACCTCAGAGAATATCTACTATTTCGGAAAAATCGGCACCTTCATTACATTTCGGACCTTCTTCAGACTACACTATTTGAATATCTGCCACCTTTAATAAGGATTTAAAAAGACCTTCCTCTTAGTCTCTCTCAACGGTCCCAAATAGTAATTTTCTTAAAGATCGTTCAGGGGCTGTCATCTTTATTACTCTCTAACAATGAGTTAGAAAATGGGGGTTGAAGCACTTCAGAAGGTTTTGATGGTATATTGTGGATGGCCTTCATGATATATCACTGAGAGACAGCATCGATTCCGCCGAAACCTCACCCAACAATGCAGCTAACCGTTCACTCATATACATAGGTTTAACGTAGCTTTGGAACTAGTTTTTGCTTTACCAAATCCCAGATATGGTTATCGACTTCTGTAGTGGTTTTAGAACATTGTTTCTTCAATCCGTTTGAGAAGAACTTTCGTAAGTTTTTCAGAGGAATAAGACCCGAGTTTCTCAATAAACCTTTGGATTTCTCGGAAGATTTAATCACTGTTCCATATCAAGATCAAGTTTTGACTCCGCTAATACCTCACCCAACAATGAAGCAATGCTAAGCGTTCCTTCAAACAAGGTTAACTAAGCCTTCGAATTAGTTTTTGCTTTACCAAATCCCATATCTTTCGTAAGTTTCTCAGGTGAATTAGATCTGAATTTCTTAATAAACCTTTGGATTTCGCAGAGGATTCCGTATCGAAGTCAAGCTTCTACTCCATACAAAATCCCAAATCTGGTTATTGATTTCTGTTGTGGTTTTAGAAGATTGTTGGATTTAATCCATTTGAGAAGAACTTTCGTGAGTTTCTCAGGTATACTAGATCTGAGTTTCTAAATAAACCTTTCGATTTCCTGGAGGATTCATTCACTGTTCCATATGAAGATAAAACGCTTGTTGTTTTTTTTTTCGTATACAATTCGTCGTCGAATCTTATATGATATTCCACTAGGTAGGTAGGTAGGTTGATAGGAGAATGTATATTACATCAAATCTGAAGAAATACACCTAGGCCACTATCGGGCCTGTTGTGCGCTCCATATCATAAGAAAAAAATGGAACTGAATGAATTATTTTTCAGTGTTCATAAACTCAATTTCCTGAACGTAATTCCTAAGAATCTTCCAATCAGTGTTAGTCAGGAATGTTATTTCCGTAATAACATCACTTCCAAGATACTTGGATCTAACTTCGACGAATGCCTGGCAGTGGCAAAGAAAGTGCTCCAGAGTTTCACTGTCCTCTACACATGCTCTGCATTCGTCTGAATCCGCACGTCCAATTCTGCATAGATGTGCACGTAATCCTGTGTGTCCACTCAGAATACGTACCTTCATACTAACTTCAGACTTGCTCATTTTGAGGAGATTTTTCGTCTTGCTCTCATCAGGGTCACCCCATAGGATCTTCGTGGTTCTACCCACTGTTTCATTATTCCAAGAGGCCTTATGGGATTCCCTCACCCATATTTTTAGTTCAGCTTTTGTTGCGTCGAATGGTTTCGCGTTTGTCAGGTTAACTGATATTCCACTAAGAATCAAACTTATGACAAGATCTTAATATTTTCATCTATAGTTTCGAATGCACTAACTGCAACATAGATTTTTTGTTTGCACCCTTGGAATTCTCAATTTTTGTTGTAGCAGACTGATGCCGATTTATCAGACTGATAGGAAAATTGAAAGCGGTAAATCGGAACAGACACGATTATAAGGCTTCAATTGCCATATAGCTATTATATGATTACTTTTTTTACTTTTTTGAAGTGTTGCGAGACGATAATAGTTTCGACTCCATAAATTTACAAAGTCCGACTGTGTATTTTCCTATCTCATTTTTCTTGAGCTGCCCAACTCCATTGAATTACTAACTATCAACTTGTGAGATACCTTCTGATCCATCACCAGTACTGAATGATTACTTTACTTAAATGGGGTATAAGGAAACACCCCAGTTTTCCTACAGTGTATTATATATAAACTTAAGGTTACTCAGGATTTGAAAAGGTTGCTGTTGCAATAATGTGTTAAGGTGGACTTAACAATTTTCCAATAATTTAACAGTTACGATTATTGTTTATTTCTCATTACTGTTGTTGTAATATTAATCTAATTTATTTATTGTTGTTATTGTGATTAAATGTAACATTGTTGTTAAAAATACCAGATATATGTATGTATTCATTTTGCTGTTATTCATTTATCTAATGTTGCAGTTGATGTGGTTGTTATTGTTATTAATTTTTATTTTTGTTGTCCATGGCACATGCATGCCACTTAATGTTGCTGTTATTGGTTTTTCTAGAGTTATTTGCTCTTGATGAAGTTGCTCGATTTAATTTTTTTTTTTAATTTTATTGTTATTATCATATATTTTCCACCACACTTGTAAATTGTAACAAAACTTATTTAAAATTGTTACTTGAATTTGTTCTTGTTGTTGTTGTTATTATTTTATAGCTTTTTGGTGTGGCCGAAATGTAAAGTGTCTGCCACACAATGTTGAAAAAAAAAATGTTAAACTGAATATGTACTTCAACTCTAAACTCGATTTATAAAATTTTTTAGTATAAAAGTTGGCATAAATTTGTTAACTAATTCAGAATCAAAACAAATAGCGTTCATTGAACAACAGTTTGAGTTCAAATTTAATAGTTTATTTTCAATTTCCAACTTCTTTTCCTTTAAATCCTTTCAACAACATGAAGGTAAAACAAACAACACTGTGTTTTAAGTGTGTGTTAATTTGAATGTTAAAAGTGCAAAAATTTAAAGTGTTAAGTGTCAAAGGATACGGATTTAAAATATTTCTTTTTTTTTTCTAATTTTGAAAAAAATTGTTTTCAATGATTCCTTTTAAAATTTATATAAAATTTTTTCTATTTTTTGTGGCATTTTGTTAAAAAAATATTGAAATTGTGGACGTAATCTTATAAATATCATGCGAAACAAATTTGTAATTACGTTGAAAAAATATTTAATAACTCCAATAAAGCATAAAAGCTTTTTCAATTAAGTTTCAAAACATCCGAAAAGCCTTATGAGATATACAGTGGGAATTTCGAAACAAAGTTGAATTTTACATAAAAATATATGTAGATATCTTGATTGATCAAGATCCTCCCCAGTACTTCATCTTGGTGAAGCCTGGAACTGTCCAGTATGATTTATAAGATCCACATTCAAAACTTAAAATCAAATAAAACTCTGAATAAGACGATGTTTACAAATAAAAGTAAACTTGAAAGAGATTTTAAAGTCCATATAAAAAGATTTAAGATTTCAGAAGGAATCTTAGTCCGAAAATTTTTCAAATTTCTTAAATTAAAAGTGTTAAAAGTTTTATCTAAAACAGATTAGAGGCCGTGTTGTTCACATTTCGCTACGAAATTCTTTTAAACTTTCTGCAGAACCTTTCAGAACCTCTGATCGTGGCAGGATCCAAGAACGTTTCCAAATTATAAAATTTCATTAGAAAAGTTCTCGTAATGACAATTTTAGTTGAGAAAAGTATCAAACTTAAACTATTTAGAGTTTTTCTTCTTCAAGTTAACCATCTTTCGAGCCATAGTCCAATATCGAACACGAAAACTCTAATATTTCAGCCGATCGAATGATAGATATTGGGCCCAGCGCTTCAGTGGTAGATATTTGAAGGATATCGTTATTTTCCCATTATGTATGGGTTTAAGTAAAAAAAAAAAATAAAGCTGGACTGTATAGTCGGGCATGGCCGAATTTATTATACCCTAAACCAGTTAGAGTTTCTAAAGCGATACTAATGGTTATAAGTCAATTATGGACTGACCTTCTCATATTCTTAAGGGGAGCTTGTATTGCGGCTAGGGTGAAAAGAGGAAATAGTAGTAGTATTTATATATAATTGAGTTATGCAAATTTTTGAAGATATACTAGTATATAAATATGATCTAGAAAGACCAAAATCGGAAGGTCGGTTGTATGGTGGCTAGGTGAAATAATGGATCGATTTCCAAGGCCAAATGTCGTTAACTTTTTTAGAAATACCGATTTGATTACAAGGTTTATATGTATAAACAAGGGGGTGGATATAGTGGAATGAACATAGATAATATTAATTTCGAATGAAGGTTATCTTGGGTAAATATTATTGTAAGATAAGATTATATAGATCAAATATAAGATCGCAGAGATCAAAATCTAAAATTAATAAAAAGTCCCCGACATAGTCGTCTAAAATTAGAATATAAAACTATATCCTCTTTTTAATAAAACTTTATATAAAACTAATAATTTTCATTTCTAATCTCATCTACAGTTCGTAATTGCCGTAGTCATGTTGGCCCTTGCTGCCGGTGTTCAATCATCTTTGATTGGTGCTCATGCTCCTGGTGTATCGTATGTCACTTCTGCCGTACATCCAGCTGGTCCATGGGGAGGACCTTTGGGATGGGGTGGTCATGCTGCTGTTGATCACAGTGCCTGGGGTGGTCCATTGGTAGCTCCCTTAGGCGGTCATGGTCTTTGGGGTGGTCATGGTCTCTGGGCAGGTATTCCCGGTATCTCTCTAGCTCAAGGACCTGCTCTTGGTCATGCTGGTCTTGGCCTCGGTCATGCTGGTCTTGGTCTCGCCCATGGTGCTCATGGTCCTGGTGTATATGTAGCTAAGACTCGTGGTGCTGTGCACACAGCTCCTTTGGCTGGTCATATTGCCTCTGCCACTTCATTGAATGTGGCTCCCGCTCCTGGTACGCATTAAGTCAACATACCCAACACGTTCATAGGCACTACAGCTATCGTTTAATAATCCAACAATCTGATGACACCAAGATGCCAAACTAGTTATAAGTTAATTAAAAATTTGTTACACTCTCCTCAAAAACCTGCTGTCTTCCACTTAGTATAACTTTCGCTTTACTAATGTCTTTGTCCCCTTTCCACTTCTCTTTCAATTCCTCCTAGTTCTTTTCAGCTTTTTGAGTTCTTCTTTCTAGCAGCTATTCCTGAAACTAGCACACACTATCAACATCAGCCACATCACCACCGCCTGCAAATATTTTCCATCCTTTTTAAACACCTATAAGGATCTCAATGAAAACATCTTTTTGGCAATTGAATTTTTGATTTTTTAGTCCTGTTAACCACCAAGTCCAACAACAATCAAGAAGAAGCTATCACTGGCACATTTTCAACAATATCTACCAACTATTCTATTCTATCTATTCTGAACACTTTGTTCTCTTTCTGTAACTGTTCTATGTACTATCTCTCTAACCAACTACAACTTTCTCTCTGTTTATTTCTATCTATTTTACTCATTAACTGTAAATATTGTATAGTATTGCAACAACATAAATCTCGAAAAAAAATCGAACAAAAAAATGTTTAAACTATCTTTGATCTATAAGAAAAACTTTGTTACTGTTTAATATTGTTTCCGTTTTTCTTAACTTTTTTTAGTGATTTTATGTACAAAATAAAATAAAATTACAAAAAAAAAATATATAGATTAGTGTTTAATTTTTTTAAGAATGGACTTTTTGTTAGGCGAATGTACCAAAAGTTAAAGATCAAGTCATGAATGTATCCTGTTATGCCCTCATAACAAAAACGGAACATTTCGGAAACTGCGAGACATTGATCTCATGGTCAAGCATGAAAATCTATTGTTTAAAATATGTATATCTAGGCCAGTAATCTATATTAAAAATAAACGGAGGTATAAGCAGAAGAGGTAAGTCAAAGAATTTGATAGCCGGGTGTCCGCCATTATCGATGTGTAATTAAAAATCTAAGGATTAACAGTTGAAACAAATCATATTTGAACAAGTAAAAGTATTTTATTCGGCTATTCCGAATCTTATTGAACCCTCAAAGCATGTGTCAGAACTTAAAAGTAAATTTAGTAAGGTGGCCCTTTATATACCCTTTATGATTCTTTTCAATCGGTCCACGATTTACTCATTTATTAGATTTTTGTCATATTTTACTATCGTGTGTCGAAAGGACATATGTATTTTTAAATGATTTATAGAGAATAACCTGATTTTCTGTAAGATCTTTATCATGTCTAGAGTGTTTTTTAAGTCAAAATTTATGAAAACTTACAGAGAAATTTAAGTTCCTGTAAAACTTGTTAATTTCGAATTTTATTGTTGTATGTTGGACTTTAATTAGTTTCAGAGTTATGGGCAATTATGTGTATATACTTTTAGGAAATTTTAACATATTTTTATACCCACCATAAAAAAAGATGGGGGGTATATTGATTTTGTCATTCCGTTTGTAACACATCGAAATATTGGTCATAGACCCACAATTCTGGGTCCTCATTAAATTCTAAGTCGATCTAGCCATGTCTGTCCGTCTGTCCGTCCGTCTGTCTGTCTGTTGAAAGCACGATAGAGTCCCAATAGAAAGAGCTTTGAATTTTCACATAAATATTTCTTATAGGTAAGGTTTGTTTAGTATTGAAAATGGGCAATATCGGTCCACATTTTCTGATAGCCCCCATACAAGTGGCCCCTCGGAAAGCAGCTTTAACAGCCATAACTTGTTTAAAAATACGAATATAGCGATAAAATTCGACATAAGTAAGTTTCTTATGATCCAAAATCACTATGCAAAATTTTATGAGGATCGGTCCATGATTGACCCTACCCCCTATATAAGGTCCCCTTTAGAAAGTGACTGCAACGCTCATTAATGGCTTAAAAATACGAGTATAGCGATGAAATTCGACACAAATAAATTTAATACGAACCAAATTCTGTCTACCAAATTATATTAGGATCGACCCATAATTGACCCTACCCCCTATATAAGGTCCCCTTCAGAAAATTACTTTAACGCTTATAACTGGCCTAAAAAATACGAGTATATAGATGAAATTCGACATAAGTAAGTTTCATTCTAGTCAAACGAGGTTTGATGGTGGGTATATAAGATTCGGCATAGCCGAATATAACACTCTTACTTGTTCAATTTTAAAATTGCGATATTTTTACATGGGATTGAATTTCCATTCAATCCGACTGCTGTCCGCTTTCACATGGATTCTCCATATAGTTGTATTTTAAAATAATATTCAGTAGCGGGCTTTATATGGACGGAAAAAGAACCGATCGTCACATGATTTTTTAACCCAAATATGAACGTTAAATTATGGTGTCCGTCTTACACAGGGGTACATTTTATTTATGAGAAGAACTCAGAAATCTGTGATATTCACAACTTTATGTATATAATTACTTCAGAAGAAGTTTTGAACTAAGGTGGAAAAATGCGATGTGAAAGATCTCCCGGATTAACGTATTAATCTGTTTGGTCAACTCTACTAATAGATTAGGATTAGCTCAATATTTAAATCTTAAATTTCAAAGGAACCGGTTTATACCCTCTGAAGACTGAAGACGATCTTATATGAGAGGTAGGGTGAATTATTGACCGTTTTTCATAAAATGTTTAAGACCGATTTAGGTTCGGTAAGAAGATTTACGTTACTATAAAAGTTTTTTTCTATCAAATTTCATAACTGTACACGTATTTTAAAGACAGCAATGTTCGTTAATTTTCTGAAGGACCCTATATGCGGGTAGGGTCAATTATGGACCGACCATCAATAAATTTGGTAGAGAGATTTTAACTTGTATAAAACTTATAATATGTGTCGAATTTCATCGCTTTACTCGTATTTCTAAGTCTGTAATGAGCTTTTAAAGTTATTTTCTGAAAAGCAGCTTATATGGGGATCAATTTTATGCAGATTCTCATAAAAGTCAGTAGAGAGGGTTTGGCTCGTATGAAACTCGAATTTCATTTCTATACTAGTACTATTAAGCCAGTAATGAGCGTTAAAGTCATTTTCTGAAGGGGACCCTATAGGGGGGGGGATGGTCAATTATGGACCAATCCATATAAAGTTTTGTAAAGAGATTTTGGCTCGCAAGAAACTTACTTAAGTCAAATTTCATTGTTATCCTCGTATTTTTAAGCCAGTAATGAGCGTTAAAGACATTTTCTGAAGGGGACCTTATATGGGGGGTAGGGTCAATTATGGCCCGATTCTCATACAATTTGATTGGATAATATTGGCTCACATGAAACTTATTTGTGGCGAAATTCATTGCTATACTCGTACTTTTAAAGCAGATATGCCCGTTAAAGCTGTTTTTCGGGGGGTCCACTTGTATGGAGGCTATCCAAAAACGTGGACCAATATTGCCCATTTTCAATACAAACAAAACAAACCTTACCTGTAGAGAATATTTATGGAAAATTTCAACCCTTTAGCTTACTCCGTTCGGACTCTATCGTGTATTCAACAGACAGACATGGCTAGATCGGCATAGAATTTAATAAGGACCCAGAATATATATACTTTTGTAGGTCTATGACCAATATTTCGATGTGTTACAAACGGAATGACAAAATCAAAAACTATCTTTGTTATAATATTACATATTATGTAAGTTAGTACTATTTAATTTTCCATGCCTAGTGTTAAGTAAGATCAATCCATTTTCTAAGGGGGACTTTGTATTGGTTGTAAACTCAAATAAAAGCTTATTCTGTACATCCAATTTTTCTATACGTTCTTCATGATTTCGGGTTTTATTTCACAAATGGCTAGCTCGAGAAGAGTAGGGATAATTTCTAGATTATTCCCAAAGCACTAGTATTTCAGGGCAACGCAGAAGAAAACTATAAAGGCAACCAATTGGCTCATTACGATTTCCGTACTTGTTTAACTGTTAAGATGATGAGCCATTCTGCTGAATTTCGTATACTTTCAGCCCAAAAGTTCATAATTAGGGCTCTGAAATGATATTTTCTGCAGCGTTATCAAAATCAACATCAAACTGTATCTACAATGATTTGATTTTGTTAATGATTTATGGACAAATTAGTTTGGAAGCAAGTTGTATTATGTTGTACAGATGCTGTAGGTGTAAAAAGTAATGATTAAAACACATTTTTCTATTTAATTTTTTGATCTTAGAAAAATATTTGCATATATTTTTCTAAATTTTATTTATGTTCTTGCAATATGCTGCACATTATTGACATTTAATGAGAAGCATAGATAGATTAAGAAAAAAGGATAGCTTAAGATAAAGACATAGAAAATAGTTACAGATACAGAACAGATAACAATAAAAGTTCGTAAAAATCCTTAATTTTGTATGATTGTTGTTGGACTATAAATTCAGAAAGATGTTAAGCCAAAGCGCTGTGATGTTGAGTGTGTGCGATGGTAGGGCGCTTTTGAAACTACATACAACTATGAGACTTGAGTAATGGGGGTATTTCGTCAGTTATCAGCAATTTAATGGGTACCGGGAGCTGGAGCCACATTCACTGAAGTGGCGGAGGCAATGTGACCAGCCAATGGGGCGGTATGGATGGCACCACGTGTTTTAGCTACATACACACCATGACCATGACCATGAGCACCGTGAGCGAGATCGATAGCAGCATGACCATGAGCGGGTCCTTGAGCTAGGGAAATGCCGGGAATACCTCCCCAGAGACCATGACCGCCCAAGGGAGCAACCAATGGACCACCCCAGGCACTGTGATCAACAGCAGCATGACCACCCCAGCCTAAGGGTCCTCCCCAGTGACTAGCTGGATGTAAGGCAGTGGTAACATAGGATACACCAGGAGCATGTTGAGCAATCAAAGATGATTGGACACCAGCGGCAAGGGCCAACAAGACTACGGCAAATACGAACTGTTTAAAACAAAATTAAGAAATATTTAATGTTGTAATTAACATAATTATTAAAAACTTTTTAACAATGATATGTCGCTGACAGGCGGTTGATGTGCAACTGAAGTTATGAATCCAAAATAACTTAAGTATGCTTAACTTGATTTGGAGTTACGTTCTTAGTTATGATGTATAAGAATCGGTAAATATTTTTACAATTTCAATTGCATTTCTTTGGTTTATGATCTCAATTTATTATAAACATTTAGTCTTCAAATTAATTATCTAAAGCTAATAATTTTTTTTTTATAAGTTTTTTTTTTCTTATTTTGTTATTTATAAACTATATTTTCTTAAAAATCACTTTTTCACAAACTCCTTCGTTTAATTTACCTTCATGTTGTTGAGAGGATGAAAGGAGTAGAAATAGGAAAATTTAAATTTAACTCAAAACTAGTGTTCAATGAACGGTTTTTGACTTGTTTCTGATTTTATTTACCAAATTATTCCAACTTTTATACTAAAAAAATTGAAATCGAGTTTAGAGTTAAATTATGTACATAAATGTGTATTGTAGTTTGGAATGTGTTTTTATTTGTGGCAGTTACATTTTGGCCACACCAAAATCCAATAAAAACAAAGACGGAAAATAACAAAATAACGACCACCACCATACCACACACAATAACAAATAAATAAACTATTAATAATATTTTTAATTTTCTTAAATATTTTTAATACCCTTCACCGTTAGTGGTGATTACAAGTGTAACTCTTTGAGTGCCCAGCAGTTTTACTAGGAGCCAAAGTATTTTCCTCAATGTCTACTAGATTGACTCTATCATCAATCTAGTCTATAGTCTAGTCTATAGTCTAGTCTATAGTCTAGTCTATAGTCTAGTCTATAGTCTAGTCTATAGTCTAGTCTATAGTCTAGTCTATAGTCTAGTCTATAGTCTAGTCTATAGTCTAGTCTATAGTCTAGTCTATAGTCTAGTCTATAGTCTAGCCTATAGTCTAGTCTATAGTCTAGCCTATAGTCTAGTCTATAGTCTAGTCTATAGTCTAGTCTATAGTCTAGCCTATAGTCTAGTCTATAGTCTAGTCTATAGTCTAGTCTATAGTAGTCTAGTCTATAGTCTAGTCTATAGTCTAGTCTATAGTCTAGTCTATAGTCTAGTCTATAGTCTAGTCTATAGTCTAGTCTATAGTCTAATCTATAGTCTAGTCTATAGTCTAGTCTATAGTCTAGTCTATAGTCTAGTCTATAGTCTAATCTATAGTCTAGTCTATAGTCTAGTCTATAGTCTAGCCTATAGTCTAGTCTATAGTCTAGTCTATAGTCTAGTCTATAGTCTAGCCTATAGTCTAGTCTATAGTCTAGTCTATAGTCTAGTCTATAGTCTAGCCTATAGTCTAGTCTATAGTCTAGTCTATAGTCTAGTCTATAGTCTTGCCTATAGTCTAGTCTATAGTCTAGTCTATAGTCTAGCCTATTTTCTAGTCTATAGTCTAGTCCTATAGTCTAGTCTATAGTCTAGTCTAGTCTATAGTCTAGTCTATAGTCTAGTCTATAGTCTAGTCTATAGTCTAGTCTATAGTCTAGTCTATAGTCTAGTCTATAGTCTAGTCTATAGTCTAGTCTATAGTCTAGTCTATAGTCTAGTCTATAGTCTAGTCTATAGTCTAGTCTATAGTCTAGTCTATAGTCTAGTCTATAGTCTAGTCTATAGTCTAGTCTATAGTCTAGTCTATAGTCTAGTCTATAGTCTAGTCTATAGTCTAGTCTATAGTCTAGTCTATAGTCTAGTCTATAGCCTAGTCTATAGTCTAGTCTATAGTATAGTCTATAGTCTAGTCTATAGTCTAGTCTATAGCATAGTCTATAGTCTAGTCTATAGTCTAGTCTATAGTCTAGTCTATAGTCTAGTCTATAGTCTAGTCTATAGTCTAGTCTATAGTCTAGTCTATAGTCTAGTCTATAGTCTAGTCTATAGTCTAGTCTATAGTCTAGTCTATAGTCTAGTCTATAGTCTAGTCTATAGTCTAGTCTATAGTCTAGTCTATAGTCTATTCTATAGTCTAGTCTATAGTCTAGTCTATAGTCTAGTCTATAGTTAGTCTATAGTCTCGTCTATAGTCTAGTCTATAGTCTAGTCATAGTAGTCTCTAGTCCCTATAGTCTAGTCTATAGTCTAGTCTAAGTCTAGTCTATAGTCTAGTCTAAGTTAGTCTAAGTCCTAATAGTTTATAGTAGTCTATAGTCTAGTCTATATTGGTCTATAGTCTAGTCTATAGTCTAGTCTATAGTCTAGTCTATAGTCTAGTCTATAGTCTAGTCTATAGTCTAGTCTATAGTCTAGTCTAAAGTATAGTTATAGTCTAGTCTATAGTCTAGTATATATTCTGGTCTATAGTCTAGTCTATAGTCTAGTCTATAGTCTAGTCTATAGTCTAGTCTATAGTCTAGTCTATAGTCTAGTCTATAGTCTAGTCTTCTAGTATAGTTTATAGTCTAGTCTATAGTCTAGTTATAGTCTAGGTCTATAGTCTATTCTATAGTCTAGTCTATAGTCTAGTCTATAGTCTAGTCTATAGTCTAGTCTATAGTCTAGTCTATAGTCTAGTCTATAGTCTAGTCTATAGTCTAGTCTATAGTCTAGTCTAGTCTAGTCTATAGTCTAGTCTATTGTCTAGTCTATAGTCTAGTCTATAGTCTAGTCTATAGTCTAGTCTATAGTCTAGTCTATAGACTATAGTCTAGTATATGTCTTCAATCTAGAGAGTAAACTATCGTCTCTATTGACTTATACCATAGTAAGTAGTTACTTAACTCACCAGTAGCAATCTATTGCAGAGCTAATTGATAATTCAGAAGCAAGTGTGGAAATTATTTGTATTAGATTGAATCCTCCTTGGAAAGGCACTTCTTAGGCTAACTAGTTTCAAAGCATGTTCTGAAACCAAAAATAAACCCACTATTTCAGAACAACCACCCCGAACTGCAGGGCATGTATAAATATCAAGAGGAATGTAAATTTTTCAATTCCGTTAAAGACTAGACGGATACAAATATGTGTGTTATTTCATATATATCTAACTCCATATTGTAAACAGATGACATTGAATCGTTAGATATTCTGACGTCTTTCATTCACCATGACAAAATAATATTTATTGATTGAGATAGGGAAAGTATGTTATAATAACTTACATAAATACTTATGCATCCTTTTACAATTATTTTCAAATTATTCTTCCATTTGCGTTTTAAACAAATTGATGCAACATTCATTATACAGTTTAACCGTTTTTTTGGTATGGATCTATGACTTTCATATAGTTTAATGGCTGATTACTAATCCAAATGTTATTTCGTGCTGTAAAGCTAATGAACTGTAACATCAAATTGTATGTGCTTTTCAGTAAAAACGAAAGACTTAAGAACGAAACTTTTTATTTTTTTTGCTTCTTCACAAAATTTTTACATATTGTGGGACTATATTCAATACTCAATGCTTCTACTAGTTCATGAATATGATTTTATCTTAACACCTTTTATAATCAGAATTTATAATTTTGAATTTATGAACTTATAGCTGACAGAGTATTTATTTAATATCAATAAATACTATACTTTTCTATATAGAATTGCGTAAAAAAACTAAATTATAATAATTATTATTTTGATTTATTTGGATATTAACATTTTTATTATGTGTTTAAACAGATTGATGCAACATTTAATTGATAGTTTGAATTATTAGTATGAATATATAACTTACATACAGCTTATATTGTTGATTACTCATCCAAATGTTATTTCATGACATAAAACTAATGAACTGTAACACATGATTATAATTTCAAATTGTATGTGTCTTCAGTAAAAATGAAAGACTTAAGAACGAAACTTTTTTTAAGATTTTTATAAAATCTTTTCATGTGTATGTCGGACTTTTTCTTTACGTGAACAAAAACGTAGTTGAGAGTAGTGATATTCTATACACACTTATGTATATGGATGGACATTAGAGTATTCCTTGGACATATTTTTATGGGCATACCTCCCAAAAAATGCTTATTATATAATACAAAAGAAGGCGAAAATTATAACGTTACCGACTGACTGTCTGATTCATCATCGCACAACCAAAACAGTTGAAGTTAGAAAGCTAAAATTTGGAAAGATCATTGGTTTCACAACACTAATATGGAATTTAGGGGACAAAAAAGCATTAATTCTCCGAAACTAAAAAAGGTAAAACAAAACGTCAACACTATTCGTTACATACTTACAAATTAAGCGGACACTTTCTGACAGTTTTTTATACTTCGACCCTTTTATGGACTAAATGGGTAAAAACTTTATTAATCAGTGAAAATAGAATTAAAATTTTGAAATTTGTTAGATATTCGGATATAAACGGGAAATTTGAATTTATTCAAACTCAATGCAACGAATTTTTTTAACATTTGAAAAAGTTTTATATTTAGGAACACTAATATACTAATTGGTTAACTCTGGTACTAATACTTTTTCGTTCTTCAAAAGGTACTTTTTTAATATTCTTTAATAATGTAGAGCACGGGATAAATGAGAACGTTTTAAGGGGGACTTTTTGATACTTTTTCGTTCTTCAAAAGGTACTTTTTGAATTTTCTATAATATTTAGTTTAAAAACATAAAATTAAGCTTGCAGTAGTAAATGAGAAACTATAAAATGGGACTTTTTGGTTATTTAACTGGTACTTTTTAATTTTTCATATTGAACCTAAAAACTTGAAATTAAGCATGAACTTTTTGGTACATTTTCGTTATTTAACTGATACTTTTTAGATTTTCTGAGTTATAGAACCTAGAACAGATCCCACATATCTGGAATCCTGGTGGAATAAAAATCTATAAAACATAACTTGATGATACTTTTTCGTCATTTAACTGGAACTTTCAACGGAAACTTAGAAATCAGACATATAGGATCCTGATGGAATGAAAATCTATACATATAAGGGAACTCTTTGGTACTTGTTCGTTCTTCAACGGGTACTTTTTAATTTTTTTATAATATTAAATCTTGAAAGGCTCAATTAAACATATATACTATGGGTTTTACCTGTTATAACTTCCACCACCATCAGTGGTGATAGAGGGTATATATAACTTTGTCATTCCTTATGTAACGCTAAGAAATATTCATCTGAGGCCCAAAAAATATATACATATATTCTTGATCCTTATGAAATTTAGTGACCATGCCTGTCTGTCTGTCCGTCCGTCTGTCTGTGTAAAAACACGCTCTCGTAAAAACGAAAATAAATAAATAAAATTTGGCTAAAAGATTCTTAAGCAAAATCGATTAACAAAATCGATTTACATGGGGAAAAATTATGAGTAAAAATTTAAAAAAAATCCCAAAAAACTCCATAATCGTGTATTATCACATAAATAGTCTTTAGCCGATCAAGAGCCCAAGCGTTTATCTATTACATTCTCTAGCTTTTATTAACCTTTAAGTGTTGATTTCCTTCTCCCTGTGAAGATCTTCATTAGAAGTTTAAAAGACCCAATCATACCCAAAGACACTAGACAGCTCTGTGGTAAAATATGTTTTTTCCCCATTTCATTGTTATACTGAAATTTCTAAGCCAGTTTAGAGCGTTAAAGTCATTTTCTGAATAGACTTTGAATCTCTGATCCACACATGAGTGTTGGGTTCAATTTTTTAGCGAATATAATTGTTTTAAATAGTAAGAAGGGAGTATTTCTGGCGCCATTCCTTACAATTGTCATAGAATTGTGAACTGGTGAGTAAGATATTCGATTTCGATGAAAATCTAGCAATGGTAAAGAAAGTGTTCCAGAATTTTACTGTCGTCTCTGCTTGTTAATTTGGTGTCCATACTCCTTCCGGTGGCATGTAACCTTGATCTTGGTGTGATTGCAATCCCGGGGAAAAGAGGTACTACCATTTGCCTCCAGTCTGTCGATCAAATGTATTCTAGCCTTTCCTTGGAATAATTTGCCATGGGGTCGAACCGCAGGACTTTCTCCTGGCTGGCCAGTTGTTTGGTTTAAACCCAAATTCGCGGGAAGAGAATGTCGGTTAAAAGACTGATGCACGGTGAAATCTATAATTCGGAATAAGTTCAGTGCTATTGCCGAAGTCAACAGATTCCCCACAGAGGAGTGGCTGTGGGACTAAGTGTTGGAAATGAGTTGGTGTTGAATGTATATGATACAGGATGAATGTAGGAGTATACGGGTCTTCCCCCGCCTGTATACCTAGAGTGATTGTGTCGGATGTTGTTCTTTATGGATGAATGAGAAGTGTGCTATGTTGAATGGTAATAGGTGATACCATTGAATTTTCCTTCCTTTTCCAGGTATGTTCAGGGAAATCTCTGTTCATACCAAATTTATCACAGTGTGTTCTCTGTAAGTAAGAACAAAGTCCTCGGCTGTTGCTGTTGCCGAATCAACAAAGGTCATCCCATCTGCTTGGTTGTAAACGGAAGTGATGTTTTTACAACTCGGAGTTAAGCAACGGGCAGCAATGGTTAGAGATTAGATTCCTCGAGTACTTGAGCAAAGTGATTGTAAATGGACCGGCAGTAACATGTAAAAAAATTTCCACCCGCGTGTAAGATACACAAAGAGGCTTTGGTGGGTAAAAAAGATCATCGTGAAATAAGATCAACATGGCAGCAGCTCACGTAAAGCACTTCGACTTCATACTGTTGAAGTGTGCCAATGGAACAAGTAGACGTAGAACTTGTTGGGGCCCAAATTACTTAAGGGATAATGATAATGGTTAAAGGGCTTATAAACAAAATCAGGATCAGACAAGAATAAAATATTCCTGAAGTTCAAACTAAATTTATAAGTTCCGTTAAGTATTTGACGAAATTCATTTGAAATAAATTACTGTTTGCGTACTTTACTGTACACACTGTTCTCTTTATAACCTACACCACTTCAGTGGGGAGGGTATATTGGGTTTGTGCTGATGTTTGTAACGCACAATAATATTGGTCATATACCCACCTTAAAGTATACCAATCGGCTCAGAATCATTTTTTGAGTCGATTTAGCTATGTCCGCCCGTCTGTCCGTCCGTCCATGTAAACCTTTTAATCAAACTACAGGTCGCAATTTTGAAGATAATTCAATGAAATTTGGTACATGATCTTCTATTGTCCCAGGAACGAAGCCTATTGAAAATGGTTAAGATCGTTCCATTATTTCACCTAGCCCCCATACAACTGAACCCCCCAATAGGGCTTGTAAACCTTATAATCAAACTACAAGTCGCAATTTTGGAGATAATTCAATGAAATTTGGCACATGATCTTTTATAGTATCGTAGACGAAGCCTATTGAAAATGGTTAACATCGGTCCATTATTTCACCTAGCCCCCATACAACTAAACCCCCGAATAGGGCTTTTAAAACTTGTAATCAAACTACAGGTCGCAATTTTGGAGATAATTCAATGAAATTGGGCACATGATCTTTCATGGTAGCGTAGACAAAGTCTATTTAAAATGGTTAACATCGGTCAATTATTTGACCTAGCCTCCATACGACTGAACTCCCGGAATAGGGCTTTTAAACTTTGTAATCAACCTACAGGTCGAAATTTTGGAGATAATTCAATGAAATTTGGCACATGATCTTCTATGGTACCATAAACGAAGCCTGTTGAAAATACAACTGAACCCGCCGAATAGGGCTTTTAAGTTCATAATTATGTTTAATATACTCATATCTCGATAAAAAGCTGCAAAAACCAAGTTCTATACAAGATTTGATGACCCTCACGAATTCCATAATAATAGGTCCTCATATGACCCTAGCCCCTATGTAAAGCCCCTATCAAAATTTCACTTAAATGTCCACAATTTTATTCAACAATAAACGGCTTATGTATATCTGAGGCAAGGTACAATTCAATTTAAATGCTTTATTATGGCAAATAAATCACATTATATTTTTGTCAAAGGTGTAGGGTATTATATGGTCGGCCTCGCCCGACTATAATTTCTTACTAGTTTAAATATAAAAATTCCTGTACTGTCTCTGATTTAAGTTTTTACTCACATTAGATTACTTGATTAAGTCCTTCTTATCTCTAAATAATAACACAAACATACTATGTACATTTTATTTTACATATTTTATTTATATGTAAAATTTTGATCACCTCTAGATCAATGATCTATTTTTTATTGATTTTTTTTGTAGATTTATGTTGCTGTTTACAATATTTACAGTTAAAGAGTATGATAGATACAGACAAAGACAGTTATAGAAAAGAGATATAGATACAGTTACAGATAGATAACAAAAAGTTCAGATTAAATCTAATTACTCGTAATGTTGCTGAAAATGTGCCAGTAAGAATTCATCTTGATTGTTGTTGGACTAAATATTCTAAACTATTTGTCATCAGTTTACCAGTATTTGCTGGGGAACGTAATGGGGAGGGGTGGTGGTGATGGTAGAGTGTGTGCTATATTATAGATTTTGTCGGTTGGAGGGATATAGAAATTGTTTTGGGACTATGACGCTATTATTGGATGGTTTGAATGTGCTATATGGGATCGTTCTTTACTTAATGAGTACCGGGAGCGGGGGCCACATTAACGGAAGTGGCGGAGGCAATATGACCAGCCAAAGGAGCAGTGTGTACAGCACCACGAGTCTTAGCAACATAAACACCAGGACCTCCATGAGCTAGACCGAGTCCAAGACCAGCATGACCAAGAGCAGGACCTTGAGCTAGAGCAATTCCGGGAATACCTCCCCATGGGCCATGAGCGGCTAAAGGAGCAGCCCAACCACTGTGATCAATGGCGGCATGACCTGCCCAAGGGGCGGCACCCCATGGAGCTACACCCCATGGTGCTCCCCATGGACCAACACCGATCAATGATGATTGAACACCAACAGCAAGGGCCAACAAGACTACGGCAAATACGAACTGTTAAAAAAATAAATTGAATTTTAAATTTAAAACTGTTTAGGAGATTTGTTGTAGTTAATCCAGATTATGTGAATGAATTAGGTCTTTGTAAAACGAACTAAAAATTCGTGTGAATTATTTATATGAAAACTTTTTTATATCAACTTAATATGCACTTGGTTTTTATTTAAATTTTCCACATAATTTTAAGTTTGCTTTACAGCAACCCGCAATATATCCTTTATTTTCCATAAAAAATTGTTTTTGCAAATATACCTTCATGTTGTTGAAAGGATTGAAGGAGTAGAGGTTGGAAAATGAAGAAAAACTTTTTTAAGTGAACTCAAAGTAGTGTTCAATGAACGCTTTTTGATTTGATTCTGATTTTGTTAACGAAATTGTGCCAACTTTTATACAAAAAATTATTAAATGATTCAAGCTTAAAGTTGTATGTAGCTGTGCAGCAATTTCTGTGTGTGGCAGTTGTACATATTAAACTTACATTTTGGCCACACCAAAAAGCAAGAAAAACAAAAGCAGACACTTAAACTGAAATCCAGACCAGCTAACATCATAACCCAGCAGTTTTACAAAGTCAAGGTATCCCTTTTAGAGAGTACTATTCTCAAATGTCTAATTAACTAGTTGACTCGAAGTTTTTATATTTTAATTACATGAAGTCCTTCGTCACTTAAGTGTCTATAAGAAACCTAAATTTTGGTGTCTTTGAATAAGCCTTTACGACCTACCGGGAATATTTTCCACTTTACAAATGCTTATAACAAATAAAAATAATATTTATTTAATGTTATTATTATTGTAAACTATTAACAAAGTTCATATTTTGTTGCAATTATTTTTTTAATAACCTTCACCATAATTACAAACGAAGTAATTGTGCTCGAGAGTCTGTGTATTTGTCATTTTATATTTGTATAACATAGAGAAATATTGAATTCCGACGTCTTTAAGTGTACAAAAGTATTTGTATTTTACGGATTTCCTATTCTTGAGGAATTTATTTAATGCACATATTTCGCACATAACACTATAAGAAATATTTTCATAAGTGTAAAATCACTAACAGGCGTTATATGATAAATTTATTTGGTAGCGCCCTAAGTATCATGTTGCACGGTGTTCTTAATTCCTTGCTGGCTATTGTGATGTATAGGAATAAACATTTTTTCCAAAATTTTTAGATGTTATCTGTTAATATGTAATTTGGATACAAAAATAAGAACTTGTTTTGAGTAAACAAAAAAGTACTATAAAAACTGCAACCCTTTAGTGTGACCTCCGATAGGTTAGTAGTAAGTGTTCCAGTCTGGTAGCACGGAGTTTCCTTGTTTGTTTCCCACCTGAAGCGCATATACATTATCCTTTCAAACTAACTAACTAACTAATTAACTAACTAACTAACTAACTAACTAACTAACTAACTAACTAACTAACTACTACTAACTAACTAACTACTAACTAACTAACTAACTAACTACTAACTAACTAACTAACTAACTACTAACTAACTACTAACTAACTAACTAACTAACTAACTAACTAACTAACTAACTAACTAACTAACTAACTAACTAACTAACTAACTAACTAACTAACTAACTAACTAACTAACTAACTAACTAACTAACTAACTAACTACTAACTAACTAACTAACTAACTAACTAACTAACTAACTAACTAACTAACTAACTAACTAACTAACTAACTAACTAACTAACTAACTAACTAACTACTAACTAACTAACTAACTAACTAACTAACTAACTAACTAACTAACTAACTAACTAACTAACTAACTAACTAACTAACTAACTAACTAACTAACTAACTAACTAACTAACTAACTAACTAACTAACTAACTAACTAACTAACTACTAACTAACTAACTAACTAACTAACTACTAACTAACTAACTAACTAACTAACTAACTAACTAACTAACTAACTAACTAACTAACTAACTAACTAACTAACTAACTAACTAACTAACTAACTAACTAACTAACTAACTACTAACTAACTAACTAACTAACTAACTAACTAACTAACTAACTAACTAACTAACTAACTAACTAACTAACTAACTAACTAACTAACTAACTAACTAACTACTAACTAACTAACTAACTAACTAACTAACTAACTAACTAACTAACTAACTAACTAACTAACTAACTACTAACTAACTAACTAACTAACTACTAACTAACTAACTACTAACTAACTACTAACTAACTAACTACTAACTAACTAACTAACTAACTAACTAACTAACTAACTAACTAACTAACTACTAACTAACTAACTAACTAACTAACTAACTAACTAACTAACTAACTAACTAACTAACTAACTAACTAACTAACTAACTAACTAACTACTAACTAACTAACTACTAACTACTACTAACTAACTAACTAACTACTAACTACTAACTAACTAACTAACTAACTAACTAACTAACTAACTGAAATGCTTCTTAAGCATGCAAACAATATGTGACGTATACGTAATATTCATTTTTGTTGTAACAATTTTACATTTTGATATCATATTTTTTTTCAATTCTAACTGTTTCATACGTTTTTGAAAAAATCTTATCCATATCTTCTAATCCACTTTGTCCATTTCACATGTAAAATGCATCGAGTAACATTTGACATCTCCTGGTAAAATTGCTTCATGTGGCGTATACGTAATATTAATATTTGCTGTAACAATTTTACGATAAGATCTTAAATATTCCGCCGTTTATTTTACATGTGAAAAGGACAAGTTGGATGTGTTATATATCAATGGAAAGGAAATTTTGTTAAATTTGTAATAATTATCGAACTAATCAATTAGAATTATATAATTATTTCCTTCTTTTTTATGTTTTTACTACTGTGCGATGTTAAAAATAAAAAATTTTCAATTTAATTCTTCATATGGAAAATATAAATATTTGGGGCATCATCTGGCGGCATGATTACCAATTTCTTTTGGCCTAAATTGGATGATATGAAAATCAATGATATGTGGTTTTAAAATGGCAGGTTTACATGCTAGCTCATGGCGCATTGAAGATTCAGCACAAGAAATAAGAAGTATAGTGCGATTTGATCTCGTTCGTCTTCATCTTGTGGGGGTTTTTTTTAAGTCACATACATACGTTAAGTGGAAGTGTTGATAAGAGGTCCGCAAAGTGGGACATCTTGGGACGCGTTGTTATCAAAAAACTCGAGTATGGTCGGTAAAAAATACTATATAAGTGATTTTATGAATATTTAATAGGAATCAAACGAAGAAATAAGATCGTTTTAAAAGATTTAACATACCTGAAGTGTCCTACTTTACTGATCTCTGACTACGCCTCAGGTAGATCCATGAGTTTCAAATTCAAAACCTAAACTCGTCAACACTTCCTCTTAAATTGCACTTCCTATGTATGTGCAATTTAATTAGAATCCGATAAACCGTTTAGAAGTTACAGAATTATTTTCCTCTTTTTATAATTCTATAACACTGTGTGATGTTCGTGAAGAATGTTATATCTAAAAAATATCGCTCACAAGCTATTAGGATCCCATTTCGATAAAAGCCTGACAACGACAAAGAATATATTTCAGAGTTTCAGTGTTATGTTTCATAACACCGCCAGTATTATGATACTTAAGGCAGATGGTAATATCCCTCTGTTTCTGTTTTTCAATGAAGAATTCCAGGACAATTTGTCTCCCTGTTTAAAGGCATCCGTATAGAACATTACCTCTAATGTCCCCCTGGCCATAATATTCTGTCTGTTGTATCTTGTATGCAATCGGACACGTTCTATGTTTCTGAATAGTCTTAAATTACCCCCTTTGGTCAATTCGCCTTAATTTAAGAACCGTTCGGCTGTAAGTACCTTATATATGTTTCAATAGCGAGAATGTCCATAACGTTTTAAGGCCTTTGTTGACGTAATGCTTATGGCCCCACATATAACTAAGCAACATGTGCGTTAAACTATAAAGGTTTTATATAACACTTATTAAAGCATAAGTTAGAATTCGCTTTATCACGCTTTTATAAAGTTGGATCAAGGCACGAAGCCTATTTCGTTCTTCTAAACATAGCGCCCAGCACTGATGTGCCGTGATGATCAAATCCTCTCCATTTTAATAGCCCGTTAAGGATTACTTTTATGCACTTAGCTTCGCGGTCACCGGTATCTTCTTGAATAGTAAACAGAGTTTAATGTATTCAGGACTTTTCGTCATTCTTGTGAAAAGTCGGATTATCAATATAGAAGAAATAATTACATCTTGAAAGCAGTAATATGAAACTTCTGCTGACCTTTGAGGTAAAAATTCATTGATGGAAGGTTAAAATTAGAAATTCTTTTTGCATATCATAGGCTAACAGTTCTACACATTTTAAAGGAACTAAAGTATACGAGATATAGGCAATATGTCGTCTTATTTTTGGTATACATATATTTAATCTTGTCCCCCAAATTAAAAGTCCAATAGTGACTTTTAAAAAACCAATTGACTTTGACCGTTACCAATAACAATTAACTCTTCAAATTAAATTGTTGTTATCAGTTGTATTGGAAACAATTTAACATGGTTTATGAATTCATGAATCTATAATTACAGCAATCAAACATTTGTTAGTTACTACTTATAGTAACTACAGTGTAGTTGTTTTAAAATTCTGAAACACTTGCTTTCAATTAAACTTGTATTTACTTGTTGCACTTAAAGTGATAAAAATCATTGATCATTTAGATTAAATTAATTTAATAAGTAGCGTAAATTGAAAATTAAAAATTATTTAACAACTTAAAGCCTGTTTTTCCATAAGTGGTACTTTAAAGAATTCTTAAACAGTTGTTTATTAATTAGAAATTAAAACTTTAGGTTAATTAAGATTTTACAGAATTGTCCACTTAAAGTAGAAAATAATTCAGATTTAAAAGATATCAAGAGTAAAAACTAACGATCAAAACTGTTGACAACTTAATGCCAAAATGTTATTACTTAAATTGCCTTCAGTTGACGAATGAATATTGGTTACCAACTAACTTATTTTATTAAGCTAAACATATTAATTTTTATTATTTATCCAACTAAATTGTTTTAAATAAATAATTTTCCTGATTATTATACATTACGACATTTAGACTGCATTACAATTGCGGTTACATTTCTTAAAATCATAACATTTTTAATGCGAATTAAATAATTTATATTGATCAACATGTCTATAGACTCAAACACTCCTTTACAAACAAATAGCTAAATACATTAAATAAAATTAAACATTTTGATAGACCGACCAAATGCACGCAATTAATTTGTATGCTAAAGATACAAAACGAAAACAATTTAAT